ATTATGTAGAAGAGATAATGCATGCTAGGAACACGTGAGTACATAAACTATTTTATTTATCATAGTTAAGGTAAATCAATAATAAAGTGACATTTGGACTTTTTTGCTACAAAATAGGTCTTTATTCTTAGGAAAATGTAGTCAGAGCTAGCTTCCTTATGCTATTATACATAAAATCTTAACATCAGATGCAGCACAGTATAGTACAGATAGTTTTTAAACTGATCTCCAAACAAGCACAAACCCCACTATGCTGAAAAAAGAAAAACCAAAAAACCATACCAAACCAAACCAAAACAAAACAAAAATCATGTAATTTGAGGTTTTTGGCAAAAGGCAGTAATAAAGTGACATTTGAACAAATGCAAAACCAAAGGAGGGGCTGGGGAAATGGCCCAGTGGAATAAGTGCTTCCCTGGCAAGCACAAGGGCCTGAGTTCAATCCCTGGTTCTGCCAAAAAAAAAAAAAGAAAAAAAAAAAAAAAGAGAAAACTCTGGGCACACCTGTGGAAAGAGCATTTTAAGCAAAACACATGAAAGCAAGCAAACAACCAAACAAACAAAGGAAGCAGCTATACAGATCCTAAAGTGAGTTTGTGTATGATACTTTTGAATAATCTGGAAATGCATGAGCAAGGGAAGGTACTTGAGAAGAAACGAAGGCAGATGGGTCAGGTTGCACAAGACTTGGTTGATACTTGAAAGGTTTGTCTTGTAGTTGGAATATGAAGGATGGCTCTGAGCACATAATCTTATTTTTCTATTAAAAAGCTAAGGTAAAATTTGTATAGCATAAACCATCATTTTAAGAATGTTTTTGTTTTCAAGTCAAGGGTTTGCTGTGTTGCCCGGGTTGGCCTCAAGCCCCTATGCTGAAGTGATGCTTCTGCCCTAGCTTCCCATGTAGCTAGGACTACAGGAGTGTACCCCCATGCCTGGCCATTTTAATGGTTTTAAAGTGTCCAACTTTGTAGCTGTTACTTTTAGCATTTTGTGCAACGATGAGTATTTTCAAACATTTTTATTGCCCCCAAAAGAAACTCTATACTCATTTAGCAACCACTGCCTGTTTCTCTCACTCTTTAAACTGTTTTCTATCTCTGTAGATTTGCCTATTCTATATTTTCTCCATACAAATGGATTCACGCAAAATATGCCTGTTTGTTTTCATCTTCTTTTCATTAGCATGATGCTGTCAATGTTCATCCATGTTGCGGCATGTGTCAGAACTTTGTTCTCTTTTATGAATGGGTAATATTTTAATCTATATAATATTATATGTGTATACAACATTTTGTTTATTCAGTCATTTCTTAATAGATTTTGGGGTTATTTCCACCTTTAGGGTATTAGGAATAATGCTCTATGAACATTTATGGAACAGATTTTGTGTGAACATATGCTTTTAATTCATTGCTCATAGGTATATAGAGCTAGAAACAAAATTCTGGGTCATATGGTAACTATATATGATTTACATTTTAAAAGCTTATTTTGGCTGCTGTGTTGTGGACAGATTGTGCGGGAACAAGGGAAATTGCAGAATGTTTAGCTAGGAAGCTGTTGCAACCAACCAGTTGCTAGATGATGGTAGTCTAGGCCAGAGTAATGGCACTGTAACAGGTAAGAAGCGATCAGATTCTAGATAAATGTTAAAGAAAAGCTAAGAATACTTACTGATAAATTGGATTTGTATTGTGAGAGAAAGAGGAGTCAAAGATAATGCTAGAGGTTTTTGACCTGAGAAATGAAAGGAGGAAATTGCTATCAAATGATATTGTGGGAAGAGCAGGTTTGAGGAAGAATCACTTTTTGATGTTAAAGGTGTTGTTTGAAACATCCAATTTGGAAAGTGTCTTAGTCAGTACTTGTAAGAGAGAAGTTTAATGCAGGACACAGAAATTTACAAGATTAGCATACAGTATTCACCTATAGAGTCAAATGCAAAAAGTAAGCATTCTGTTTGAGCACTACACATCTGAGGAATCCTGCTGAAGGGCCAGATTCCATAGCAGTGTCCCATGCAAGTTTTTATGAGGAGGCTGAAGAATCCATGATGGAAGACTGAAAGATCTGTGCTGGAAAGTCTACGGGCCAGTGCTGGAGGCTAGCAAGTCTGCTCTGGCAAGCTGGAAGCCGACTAATTCTCACAGAAAACCAGGAGATGACACCCAAGGCACAGGTGGAGACCAGAGATCCTCCCAAGAGAACAACTGCCATCTTTGGTGAAGAAGACTGGAGCTCTGTTGAAGACAGCAGCTGAAGCTTTTGTGAGGGAAATCAGTATAAAATCCTCCCCTCCTCTTATAGCAGTCCAACAATCATGCTGACCCAACTCAGCTGGGCATTGCTACTCAAGTTGAACTTTCATTAATTAACTACTACAGGTAAACTGTTGGAAAAACAAATAGGGAGTTTAAGAAATAAATATGAGTTATTATTTTATAGGACAAATTTAAAGCCATGAGACTACTAGAACTTATTAAAGGATAACTCTAGAGATTTTTGTTCTAATGGTGTTTGTAAATAGGATATCAAGTCTGCATCTTGTACAGCAATTAACCACTAGGAAGAATTTCTGCAATGTGTTAATTACTGAAACTGTCCTACCAATTTGGTTTGAAACTGTCACGTTGCTATTTGTTTCTCAATAAAATTATGGAAAAAAAAGAAAAAAAGAAAAGAAAAACATCCCAGGGAAGAAACCTAGACATAATCCAAATATTAAGAGTTCTAGTGGGGGAGGCGACCAAACAGGGGGTTGAGAAGCAGCAGGCAGTAAGATTGGAGGAGGAAACCAGGAGAATGTGGAATCTTGGAAGAGAGAGGAAGTTACCAAAAATACTTGAGGAAGAATGATTTCTCTCCCCTTGTTGCTTCTCTCATTAATTATTTGAGATAAGGAAATCAGGAATGGTATTCTGACTTTCAGAGATGGGACTGTTATTTTGAATGCCCAGATCATTCTTCATTGGTTAATTAAGCTAGAAAAGAACTCTGATTTTCTCTCTTAGTTACTTTCTCACTGATGAGACCAAGTATCTGGCACCCAAAGTTAAAGGAAGAAAGTTTTATTTGTCTCACAGTTTGTAGAGGCCCTAATCTAGTCCATAATTTGTTGGCTCCAAGGCAGGGTGGCATGGTATGGAAGAGGAGAAATAGTTCACGGTGGAAGAAGGCAGCAAAGCAAGCAGAAGACCTAAGCAGCATCTTTCTGCCCCTTTTATATTCCACCTAGGCTACAGAGATTATAGTGGCCCAAAGCAGTGGACTGATTTAGTAATCACATAACCTTAATCCCAGCAAGCATCACACATTCTAGATCTAGCCACCCCTGAAAAAGCCCCACTGATGACTACATGAGGTTTTGAGGAGACTTCTAGACACCAACCTTAACATCTTATGAATATTGTCTTGACATATTATTTATTATTGGAAATGCATAAGCCATTTTGAGGGTCTTTATTCAAGAATGCAATCAACAAATATCTGAGAACGTACTTTATACTTGCCTATCTTCTAGACAGTGGACACACAGCAGTGGACAAAATATGTGGTCACTTATGAACTTAGTCAAATGGAGTAGAATGACATCAAATAAATAATTTGTTTAAATTACTGAACAACATAAATACCTTGTTTTAAAAATGTAAGCAAATAATTACATATATGATGGATGCTACTGTAGTGGATTGCTAACTGGTGGTCAACTTGTTACACCTAGCTGAACTGAACTAGCATGGTACTGGGTGTGTGAGTTCTACTGAAGATTTTTGCCAGCAGTGTTAGGGGCAGAACTGAAGAAGCTGTTGAGAGGCTGGTAGGGATGCTGTTTGGGAAGCTGTTGGAGCTTTTGGAAGCCATTGCTTCTCCTGGGCTGTTCCACTGGGTGACGTTGTCATGCTGGCTTTCCTGATGAACTTGGCTGTTCTTATTGCTGGAAGAGCTGGGGACCTTTGTTGTCACTGAGAATGGCTATGATTTATTTGTGGGGTGCTCTAGTCCTCATTTTGAGCATCACTTCCTGACTCTAGAGGGGAAGATCATGCACATCTCAGTCTTCTGGAGAAGCTTGCTTTTCCTGTTGGGAACTCAGCTTTCCTCATAGATGGGGGAGCTTGGGACTTCACTGTTGCTGAGGATGGCTGTGGTGCTTTTGCAGGAAGCTCTGATTCTTACCTTGAGTGTTGTTTCCTGTCCATTTCAGATTCCTCAGCCTGCTAGGACAGATTTTCATCTCCATGGCACAGACTTCCTAGCTTCCACCACTAACTTTGGGCCTTTCCAGTGTAGATCTGTGAAGCAGGCCTGCGTGAGAGTTTGTCATGGACTTTAGGCCTTTAGTTGGAGTTGTGGGAGGCATTGTTATAAGCTCTAGGTTTTCAGCTGGATTCATGCAGGGTATTAGGATCCAGGCCCTCAGCTGGATTATTTGGTCTTTAGTATGTGGACATATTTCCTGCACTCCTTATATATGATTCTTAGGGGGATTCATTAGAAAATAATCTTATAAAATATGTTCTTGTATTGCATTGTTTCCTTTGCAAAAATCCCAAACCATGACAACTACTAATAAATCAGGGTGTTTTAGGAGTAAGGCTATTTTTCCATACTTAGTGTATGGCCAGAGGGAATTGGAGGAATTGACATAGGAGAAGAGGACTGAATGAGTTGATTCAGCCAGGTTAAGAAAACAACATAGCAAGCATAGAGAAGAAGGAGAGGAAAGCTTTGTAATGTTCTGGAATATAAAGTGTAAAGAGGAATGGAGGATGAAAAATGAGGCTGGAGATGAGCAGGAGTCAAGTCAAAGATTTTCTTGCTGTGCTAAGCAGTCTAGGTTTAGTCTCAACAGCACTGGGGGGGCATTGGATTTTGTAAATTAAAGTCTACTTATATTTATTTTAGAAACACCCACATTACTATTGTGAATGGGTTGGAGAGACCACCTAGAGGCAGGAGAGTTTTCTCTCTTTAAACATTGACTCTTTTCATTCTAGTGTGCCTTTTGAAGTGCCGAAGTTGAAAAGTGGAAAGAGTGCATTGGAAGCTGAGAGTGAAAGTTTGGATAGCTACACAGCTGACTCAGATAGTGCTTCAAGGTGAATATACCCCCATTTTCCTCACTTCTGCTCAATCTGAGTTTTCATTTTGTTTTTTAGCATCAAGATGTGGGTCTGTGCTTTTAGTGTTTCTGATTTCTGTCTTCAGGCAACTGAATGTAGTATTTTCTCTGACTTCACCCAAAGTCTCTCAGTAGCATTTACACTGAGTTGGCTCTGAACACAGCTTTCTGGAGTATGTTAACTTTCCCAGTCTGCTGTACCTTGGAAGATTCTCCATGGCCCAGTAGCAACTGATGCTGCTGTGCTTTAGGAGTGGGGGTAAGAGTATTTGTGTTTGTGTAAAACTGCTTGTCAGATCTTTTACATGCCTTCAAGATAAATCAAGTATGAAATTTGGATTTGGTTTTCTTTGGTAACTTTTGCATTTGATTACTATGATGACCCCAAGCCACTGACTCTCCTTTGGTAGAGCTTTGGGTCCTGGTGGAAGAGGAAAGGAAAAGAATGATTTAATTATAATATCTTAATATCCCTCCAGGAGAGACTCTCTCGATAAATCTGGCCTCTTTCCAGAATGGAAGAAGATGTCTTCCCCCCGATCTCAAGTAGAAAAGGTAAACTTCTGGTTATTGTTTTTTCCTTCTCTTCTGTCCCTCTTTCTCTTTTTTCTTTCTTTATATTCGCTTCCCTCACCTTGCTTTCTCCTTTCCTTTCTTCTAACACTTACCCTTTGCCTCTTCCCCCCTCCTTTTTTCCTTCCTTCCCTCCTTCAACTTCCTTCTTTCCTTCCTTCCTTCCTTCCTTCTCCAGTTAGAATTTAAATCAGGAATTCGATTAAGCAAATTGCTTTTAAGATTCACTTGGAAGTACTTTCTAAGGTATTGGTTCAAATGAGTGATAAAGTAGTTTTTCAATACTTTAGGCAGTTCATTTTTTAGTTTTGTTGTAGTTGAATAAGTACCTGAGCCTTATTCTGCTTACAGCTGTTCTTCATTACTCACCACTTCTACCTGAACACCTGCCAGTTTCCACTACTTTTCCCTTATTCCTTCCTAGGAAATTCAGCCGGTGGGTCAAAATGTAGTATCTGTTGATGAGGATGAAATGATATTCAAGAACACCAGAAAAATCTTCAGGCCTGCAGGTAGCCAGTTTGGGAACTGAAGTTCTGAGTACCCATGTTGGGCCTGTGGTATAGAGCAGAGTAGGCCTGTTTTGACTTGGATTTTTGGTCTTTCCCTTAGAATACACTAAATCTGTGATAGATCTTCGTCCAGAAGATGTAGGGCATGAGAGTAGCTCCATGGGAGACAGAAGCAAATC